GGTGGAGCCGTTAGCTGTTGGTTTTGCTAACTGTTTCTGGTAAATCGTTAGGCGGTTAAGCCAGCTGTCCTTTGTTGGATTAAACTTTCAAGTGTTAATCCATGAAGGAGGCAATCAGCGTGGCTATATTAACAGGTCTTTTGACCAAGGGCTGGGCATAATCTTTAGCCTACATTCTGTTTTCCTTCACTTCATTTATGTTCTCTTTTTTTTCCAGGAGGTGTTCTTCTAAGTTTTAACATGGTATCAGATGTCTAGCGATCCAAGTGCCAGTGATTCAACGGTGATCTCTCTTTGATGATTCTACTTTCTGCTCATCATGCCTGACTCGTTTGTTGCAGTCGAAGCAATATCAGAAGGAAGCAGTGCTACTGCTGCCAATAATCGGATGGTAGAAACGCCATTAATGAACAAGTATGTTAATGTTTGATTAGATGGTAACAACTTTCTTCTTTGGAAGCAGCAAGTTCTCCTTATGATTCAAGGACACGAACTGGAACATCTGCTGGATGAATCGCTGTCGGTTCCACCTCAAACTATTGTTGATGAGTCTGGTGAATTAATAGTAAATCCGGTGTACCGGTGGCACAAAAAACAGGATAGTTCTTTGGCATCCTAGCTTCTTTTAACAATCAGTTCATCCATTCTTCCTCAGCTTGTAGGAGCACATACCTCTGCTAAGATCTGGAATACGGTTCTCAGCATGTTCTCCAAGCTCTCCACTACAAAGATTATGAGCTTGCATGGAAGACTCAGGTCTCTTAAAATAGGAGACCTATCTGTGCGTGAATTTTCCACACAAATCAAAGAGATCTGTGATTTACTTGCGACAAGTGGAAGCTCGATTTCTAAGATTGATAAAATTGTTACATTACTCAATGGGCTTCCAGGCAATTTTGAACCGTTTGTTGCTGCCATAATAGTGAGTCGTGAACCTTATACTTTTGACATTGTCACTTTGGTTCTCATTGATGCTGAATCGAGGATTGGTGACCTTATGAAGACAGCGGTCAGCATAAACTTGACCAGGCATAATAATTACAATGGAGGAAATGCCAATGGTAATCGTGACAGGTATTACACTAGTAATAGGACAAATGATTCTCGCGAAAAAACTCAGAACGTGAATAAATACAAGGGCAGACCTAGGCATCAATGTCAATTATGCGGGAAGATTGGTCATCTAGTGGATAGGTGTTGGCATCGCTTCGATGAGAACTTTAAAGGCGTAGCTTCGAGGCAGTCCAGAGATACCAATGAAATGCAGGCCAATGTGTGTAAATATGATGCTAATGATTCGTCTTATAATCCGTTTGTTCATACAGCTGCAGGAGATGAGGTGGTCGCTGAAGATGCCACCACTGACATTGTGCAAATAAACTCTCTTATTGCTAAAGGAGTTCTGTCTGCTGCTGACAAATGGTATCCCGACTCTGGTGCTACACACCATACGACCTACGACAAAGCTGGAGCATCCTTGGGTCGACCATACTCAGGAAAAGGTAAGGTCTACCTTGGTGATGGTTCCACATTACCAATATCACATATAAGTAGTGTACCATTAACTGCCAATACATGTTATCTATAGCTAAAGAATGTCTTGTGCGTTCCAAAAATAACTAGAAACTTGTTATCTATTTCTAAACTTACACAAGACAACAATGTATACCTCGAATTTCACTCAGACAAATGCTTTGTGAAGGATGAAGAAACTGGCCGAATCCAGTTAGAAAGTAAACCGGAAAATGGGTTGTATTGCTTTAATAAAACTGCTTGTATGGATGGCATGCTTCATCAGGTTACTGCTTCTACTGAGGAAAAAGATGTTAAGTCCAATAAAAGCTTCTGGCTATGGCATCGACGGTTGGGACACTCTGCGTCGAAAATTTATATCTTCACTCTTTCACATTAAGAATGGTGTTCATAATAATAGTGAAATATGTGTTGCATGTCAGCTAGGAAAAAGTCACAGGCTTCCATTTTTGCAATCAAATACAGTCTATAGTCGTTTGTTTGAGTTGGTAGAAATAGATGTATGGGGTCCAGCATCGATTAAGTCTGGTGGCTGGCAATATTATGTTTCGTTTATAGATATGTTCAGCAGGAATGTTTGGGTATACTTGATGCGTAATAAATCGGATATTACTCAAGCTTTCAATTTGTTTCATGCTCTTGTTAAAAATCAGTTTAAAACAAACATTGTTGCATTACAAACTGATGGTGGGGGTGAGTATCGAGGTTTAGAGCAGTGTCTTGCAGCTGCAGGAATCAAACACAGGGTTACATGTCCACATACCTCGCAACAGAATGGTGTAGTTGAGCGTAAACACCAGCACATCATTGACACATCCTTAACACTTCTAGCTCAGTCAGCCATTCCCTTCAAATATTGGTCGTATGTTGTCCTTATTGCAGTTTACCTAATCAATAGGTTACCTGCAGACTTGCTTGGAGGGATCTCACCATTTGAGAAGTTGTACGGTAAGAAACCTGATTATCAGTTTCTTCGTGTCTTTGGCTGTCAATGTTTCCCATGTCTTCGACCTTTCAATCGACATAAGTTTGACTTCATGTCCAAGCCGTGCGTATTTCTTGGCTACTCTTCACAACATCATGGATATCAATGCCTTGACGAATCAGGTCGTGTGTATATATCTTGACACGTGGTGTTCAATGAAAATGTGTTTCCATGTGTGGCTCACCGTGTTGGTATCAATCAACATGTCAAACAAGTTGATTGGACTGTTCCTTTTCCTTGTAAAGAACTCAGCATGACCGATCACGAGGATATTGGGTGTGATAATCTGGTTAATATACATGATCTGGTGGACGATGCAATGGTTGATTCATCTCATACACCTGGTGTAAATGCTGACCATGATGATAGAGCTAACACAATGGAGGACGAGCCAGATGCTGTGTCGAGAGTTGTTGTTCAACTAGAGGATACTCATAGTGAGCTTACACATTCCAGTGCTACTCCAAATGATGATCAAAATGGTTCAATAAGTGTTCAGGAGCCAGGTGCTTCAAGCAGGACTGTGTCTGATGCTGCTCAGCACGTCACAAATAAGCATCACATGGTCACACGCAGCAAAGCAGGAATTTTCAAACCTAAGGTTTATAATGCTTTGTTTAATGATACTCCTTTGAGTGTGCAAGATGCTTTACAACATAAACATTGGCGTACTGTAGTTGAAATGGAGTTCAAGGCGTTGACTGATAATAACACGTGGAAGTTGGTTCCTCTGTCAGCTGATCGAAAAGCCATTGGGTGTAAATGGCTGTTTCGCATTAAACACAACTCGGATGGTTCTATTAATAGATTTAAAGCAAGGTTTGTCGCAAAATGGTACTCTCAAGTACCATGATGCGACTTTGTTGATACCTTCAGTCATGTGGTGCGATTCTTCACGATAAATGTGTTACTGTCGGTTGTTGCTTTACGTGGATGGCAAGTCTATCAAGTAGATGTTAATAATGCTTTCCTCAAAGGCAATCTACAGGAGGAGGTATACATGGTTCAACCAGAATGGTTCGAACAAACTGGTGAGCATGGAGAAAAGCTAGTGTGCAAGCTTCAAAAAGCCCTTTATGGTCTTAGACAAGCCCCTCGCAATTGGTATAAAAAACTTCAACAGTGCTTGTGTGACATGGGATTTCGACCTTCTAGAGCTGATAGCTCGTTATTCATTTGTGGCACAAAGCATGATATCACGTATGTTGCTGTGTATGTTGATGATATTCTTGTCACGGGGTCTTCTGAAAAATGTGTTAACGAGGTTAAGAAGCAGCTACATGACAGGTTCTCGTTAAAGGATCTCGGGCTTCTTCACTAATTTTTGGGCATTGAAGTTGTTCATACAGTAACTGGAATGTTTTTGAGTCAAAAGAAGTATGTACAGGAGCTGTTGACCAAGTTTAATGTTCATGCTAAACCTGTGGACACGCCCTTACCTATTACACCCAAGTTGAGTTCAGAAAATGCAGGAGCTCCTATCAATGCTCAGCAGTATCGAAGTGCAGTTGGTGCACTATTGTATGTGTGTCATACTAGACCAGACATTGCTTTTGCGGTTCATAAAGTAGCACAGTTTATGAAGTCCACTTGTGAAGCTCATTGGACAGGAGTTAAACGCATTCTACGTTACCTAAAAGGTACACTGGATTATGGATTATGGTTAATCAAGGGCAGGGGCAACTTCAAATCAAAGCCTTTACAGATGCAGATTGGGGCAGTGATCTCGATGATAGGCGATCGGTTTCCGGGTATTGTGTTTACCTAGGTAGTCATTTGTTGTCATGGAGTTCACGCAAGCAAAGGCCAGTGTCCCGTTCAACAGCTAAGGCAGAATATAGAAGTCTTGCTGATACAACTGTTGAGGTTCTGCGGGTTAAAGCAGTTCTAGATGATATGAATGTTGAACTGTCTCAAGCTCCGGTTATATGGTGTGATAATACCAGCACTGTAGCCATGGCTGCTAATCCAGTCTTGCATGCTAAAGTTAAACATGAGGATCTTGATGTTCATTTTGTCAGGGAGAAGGTCATGGACAAATAACTTGTAGTCAATTATGTTCCTGCAAATTGTCAAATTGCGGATGTATTAATAAAGCCGTTAGTTACAACACGATTTCAGGAGTTACACCAAAAGCTTAATGTTTTCTCGCTGCAGAGGCTTCAGCTGCACAAGAATAAATTTTTTTTTACCTCAAGAAGTTGGAAAACGGGGTGAATGTTAAGAATTGAGGATTGCCAGCTGGAAGGGTTGCCAAGTGGAGCCGTTAGCTGTTGGTTTTGCTAACCGTTTCTGGCAAATTGTTAGGTGGTTAAGCCAGCTGTCCTTTATTGGATTAAACTTTCAAGTGTTAATCCATGAAGGAGGCAATCAGCGTGGCTATATTAACAGGTCTTTTGACCAAGGGCTGGGCATAGTCTTTAGCCTACATTCTACTTTCCTTCACTTCGTTTATATTCTCTTTGTTTTTCTAGGAGGTGTTCTTCTAAGTTTTAACAAAAAACACTTTGGAGACGACGACAAACAGCTCCTCTCCAGATTGTTCTCTCAGGTAAGAAAATCTGAACTTTTTTCATTCACTCGCCAAACCCATAGTTTTAAATCCCCAGAAAAAAATAGGGTTTCCTTGTTCTTGATGAAAAAGAAAAGAAACTAATGTTTGCTTACGGATATTGAACAGTTGGAATCATTAAAAGAAGATGGAAAGCTGAAGCAATCCGAACCAGAGGAAGTTAATTCTCGAAAGGGTGATGATGATAAAGCAGAGGCAAAAAGTGAAAATGGCAGTGAATGTGGGGGAATCGATGTGGAAAAATTAAGGAAAGAGATTAAAGAGTTATAGAAGCAGAATACTATTACCCATTGCCTTGTTTCGGCCATGATCGTCATCTCTTTGTTCTGGCAAGTCTCGGAGGCATCCCTCCTTCTTAAGGTTAAAGATGGTTTCTCTTACCCTTTTAGTTCATTTGGAAGTTGGCTTGTTAACAAGGTGAAAAGACCTACAAAACAACATAATCACGTTATTGAACATTCGGATCACTCGGTTCAAATTCCTGAGCTTCCCCATGTTGAGTTTCCGCACCTGAGATCGAGTGGTGAAGGACACTGAGCCATTGAAGGTTTCAAATGGTAGCTTTTGTCTTCTTGTAAGTTTTTATCATCTTTTTATGCTGTTAATCCAGTTGGAATGTAAGTCGAGAAGTATGGTAATATAACACAATTTCAACTATGATATAATTAGATAATGTCTTTCATGAACTCAACCAATCACAGCAAAGAAGTCGATGAAATATGGAGACATGGAAACCATGACGAACCATGAAGAACAGAAAATTTTCAAATTTTGATCTAAGATGCCTAAAACAAGCGAAAGTGTTTTAAATCCTCGACATTGTAGTACCGTCCATTGATTAATCATAGTGACTTTGTCTTTACGCGTAGTTCAACCAAAATAAGCCATTCAACACATGGAAGCTTCCTTCTTGTGTTGGCATCAAATGAAACATCTGAAAGCGGAATGCAAGACAAGGATACATAGGTTAGTGAGGTTGATAATGAAAAGTTATCCAATGCTCTTACAAACAAAATGAATAATATCTCTGCAACATAAAACGGTTAACTATAAACACAGATGAAACATATATAAGTTCATGGACGGAGCTATATAGGGAGTGGGAGGGATTTTTGGTTTAATAGTATTTTAGGTTCTTATTAGTTTAAATTTAAGTAAAATTAGACTTTTGTCCTCACAATTTTTAGAATAAATACATAATAAGTCATTATTTTTAAATTAATTACCTTGCCTCTTTCAATATTTGATCATGGCTCCGTCCCAAACAGGAATCGTGGTGGTTGGTGGGGTAATCGTCTCTGACAACTTTAAATTCTCATATAATTTAAGTATTTTTTTATATTTTCTATTAAAAATTTGTTTAAAATTTTGTAAATTCGCCCCCTTAAAATTTTATAGATCGTTTCCTAACATAAAATCATATATCTCTTCCCAGTTCCAAATGGAAGACATAAACCACAATGAAAATCATCAATGCCTTTTGATGAAGAGAGCTGTCGAATTGGATTGTCTTTTATATCCTGCAGAGTCCCAAGAAACAACGTCGAGAGAGAGGGCGGATAATTGTTTAGAGTGAGCAACGAGAGCACCCTCCATCACTTAATCATGCGAAAAACATAAGTAGAGAAAATGATAAGAATACTAGTAAATGATGCTTGGCCTGGGATAGAAAAAACACCATGAAACGGAATAAAGCTCTCGAATGCAGTTTATACAGTAATCATCGTATTGCTTGCACATTTTATACAACTAAGACTCGAGGAAAGTTCAAGTCAAGAGGATAGCAATATCAAACAGCGATAGGGTACATAATTGATTATTATGAACATGGAAATGTGCATTTCCATGGTGCATAACAGAATAAAAATGCAGCAGGTTCATTGGATCGGTGGTAGATCCAAAAACAAAATCCATATCTTCCGAAACGTATTCATGGCACATCAATTGAGATCAGGTATATCGCCTAAATAACACTTTTTACCCTTCTCAAACCAATTAATACAGAATCAAAATGAATGAAAAACGTACTAATCATAAGCATATCAGATGAGCATTAAGGGCTATAGATATCACAGTTTTCAATTCCCACTTCAACTTGCGCCAGATCGAAACATAATTTACAGGACCCATTGACAATTGCATGCGAAATTAAAACCGATGGTATAATCAATGAAATCAACAGCAACAGCATAGATTAACCATAGATCGATCAGCTATGTAAGCATTGAAGTCCTGAAAATAGAAAAGAGAAACGAATAGAAGACTAGGAAAAATTACCCGGCTGAACTTGAGAGCATGGTGTTCGCCTGCGAGTTGGAGGTTACCACTGTCGAAAGACAAGCATTCCGCCGGAGCCGGAAGGCTGGAAATCGAAGGTGGTGATTTAGCTGGAAATGAAGGCTGGTGAGCTTAGCAACGATGTTCTGAGAGCCCTGGATCTCTTGACCTTCGAAGGTCAACATGGAACTTTCCTGGTAGAGATTGGCTAAACCGGCCCGGTTCGCATCGAATGTCGAGTGGTAGTGCTCGATGGACGCCTTCGCTACTGCATCAAGATCCATTTTTCTTCTATTATTTAACGAATTTGAGCGGCGGCTCTTAATTAACGAACAAATGAGAGGCGAGCGAAGATTTTTTAGAGGAGGTTTTTCTTTCTTTTCTTTTAGAGTAAATCACATAGTTATTAAGTGAATTATAATTTATCTCCTATTTTATTTATTGTAGTTTTAATTTTTTTAAATTTTATTCGTTGAACTTTGATATTGTTTTTATTTTGATCACTCTATATTTTTTATTATTTTCGTATGACGTGATATTTTATAATTATTTAATATAAAATAATTAAAATTATAAAATAAAAATAGAAAGTGGTCGAATGTCACCTCCGGCCACAGTCGACTACCATAGATGGTTGTCGTTCGGTCTCAAATCCCATGGATCAATTCGCTCAACCCCTTGAGTCTGAATCTGGTTGTTGTTTCGTCGAAAAATGTTTCAAACCCCATGAATCTCGATTGAAACGTTTTGGCTTCCTCAATTCCAATCTCCAATTCGTGGAATTTGGAGAAAGTTCTGACAAAATCAAGGTCGGATTTAGACTTATGGTGTCGATTGAGACCGAACGACCAATATCTACAGCGGTCGACAGTGGCCGGAGGCAGTGTCTGGTCACCTTTTGTTTTTTGTTTTATAATTTTAATCATTTTATATTAAATAATAAAAATTCCACATCATACGAAAATAATAATAAAATAATTTAGAATGATTAAAACATGAGCAATTTGAAAGTTTAGTGACCAAAATAGAAAAATTGAAAGTACGATGAGTAAAATAAGAGAAAGTATAGTTCAGTGAGGAATGGTATAATTTACCCTTTCTTTTATAGGATGATTGATCTAACGGCTCATTTTGAATTATAAAAGTATCAACAAGTAGCTGTCTGCGTTTTCTCATTTTGTGTATTTTGAGTAAACTACTCTATTTGGTTATTAAAATAATACCATATATCTATTTTGGTCTCCAATTTCATTTTGATAAAAGCATTACTAATATTACATTTTTTTTTCGATTTTAATCATTGATATTAAAAATTAATGATGAAAATGATGTGATGTGATGATTTTCTCATTTTTCCTCCACGTCAGCTTTATCATATATCATTTATATTAATAAATGAATATTCTCTAATAAAATAAAGAAATATGTCACTACATGTACAAATCAAGTAGTCTTCGTTGTAAAGGAATTGTTGTTATTCCTGAAGACCCCAGTTCGAACATCATAGATGTTTAGGAGTGTGAGCGTTCAATGTTGAAAGGTTGAGAGTTATCATGTTCAGGGGTGTGAGCGTTCAATGTTAAAAGGTAGAGAGTTATCTTTGAACAAATATTGTCTTATACTTACACCAAATTATTCAAAAAAAAATGTCACTACCTTATTCATCAATTAAAAATATATCAAATATAGATAGTACAATGCTTAATCACTATATTAGTATGGGTATTTGTTACATAGTTAAAAAAAACAATATTTTAGTTAAACTGTAATGGAAATTAATCAGATTATATTATATAAATTATTAACTACAGCGACAATGTAAAATTATTAAAAAAATATTTTTGGCATTAATTATTTTATAAAGACAATTGAAAAAAATTCGCTTAATTATTTTTAGATGCCTAAATTACACTTCAAATCTAAAAGTGTAACGGAGAAAATATTAAATAATTATTTTTAACAAAAAATTCATTAGGCATCAAAAAGTCGGCGTTTTTCCCGAAATATCACCCTAACCCTATATATTTCCATGTCATGCACCGTTCAGACTATATTTCCCGATCTAACACCCTTTGCAGGAAGACGCGCCCATAAACCGCGCTTTACGCCACGTGGTGGGCACGCCTTACCAAATGTGTAAAAAACACAGGTGCTAGTTTTGTAAATACTTTTACACGGGTGCCAAATACGTCATTAATTTCTATTATAATGACATTTGTGTAAAAACGTCAGCATTTTAATTGTGCAGACACCCCACACCGCACGATTCCAGGTGATAGTGATTGAGTTTATTAGTATTTTAGTGTATATCAAGTTTATTTTTTTATAATAATAAATATTTTATAATTTAAAAAATTATAAAATTCATATATTTTTAAAAAATTTATTGAATAATAATTCATTTGAACCCTTAGTTGTAATTAAAAGTTTATTTTAATATTTTTATATTTTTAAACAATAAATTTTAAAGGACAATAATTTTTTCAAAAATATATGAAATTTATAATTTTTTAAATTATAAAATATTTATCATCATCATCATTTTGTAAAAGAAATAATAGTTATAAATTTTTTATAAAATTATTCATATTTTAAAATAATTATCCTCAAAGTTTTTATATACTAGATTATACGTATTGTGTAATTTTAATGCAAAAATTTAAATAATTTTATTAAAAAGGAATAAATATTATTAACTGTTGTTAAAAAATAAAAAATAATGAATAAAAATTAATTTGATCCCTCAATTGTAATTAAAAGTTTATTTTAATATTTTTTATATTTTTATACAATTAATTTTAAAAGACAATATTTTTTTCAAAAATATATAAAATTTATAATTTTTAAAATTATAAAATATTTATTATTATAAAAAATAAACTTGTGACACTAAAATACTAATAAACTTAACCACTAC